ATTAAGTAAGAGGGTGAAACACATCTAAATAAAAATAAAATAAAATTTACCAAGATTTTCTAATAAAAACATTACTAAAATAATTTCATTCATTTGTGAATAAGTCCTGAAAGTTTCATTAAAATCTGACAATTATTTGATTTTTTTGCAAGCATTTCAAAATAATTGTGTCTTTCACTACAAAAAAGGCACTAAAATTTGCTATGCAAATTTATAGTAAATCCATTGATGCAAGAAAAACAAGATTTTTAATCAAAATTTCAAATGTTCTAAAAATACTTTGATCTTTCCTTTTATTAATAACACAAAGATTTTGACTATAAAACTATGTTTTCATTACGTTTCAAGCATGTTTTTTGTCATGGTATGATGATTTTAGCAGTTTTGTAGGGGTACCTAGTTAAATGCATTTTTACTTGGTTGACCATGTTTTTTTTTTTTTTTTGTATTTTTTGGTGTGTGTATATATATATATATATATATATATATATATATATATATATATATATATATATATATATATGTGTGTATGTGATAAAAAATATAATTTTAAGGTATGCTATATTTATGGTGCTCAGTATCAGGGATATAAAAGTAGACATTGATGTCAACACTGACTGTTTAATGCTTGAACACAATCTTCAGGCCATGTGTGTTGTGTGCTGGCTCAACAATTTATATATGCTGGTCAATAAAACATTATGCATAGCAAGTTCAGATATTTCCAGTTTATTGTATTATCTTAACCGTCATTAGTAATGTTGACTAATGAATAATGTGAGTCAAATTGCTGTTATTTGTGGCTATTGTATAATGTTGTTTGTTAACTTTTAACTTCATAGATTACTTGGGTTATTTTGTATTTTTTTAATTATTTGTTGTCAATTATTATTATTAAATTTACTTGTGCTGATGTGTGCATTTGTAGTTTGTTAATTTGTTAATCTATTTTTGTTTATTTATTTTGGTTAGGACATGTCCATCTTATTTGTTTAATAAAGTATTCGCTTTGCCTAACATGTTGCATTATCTGTGTTCTGCATAATGCATATATTTGCAATTTTCTTGGGGATGTTTCAAAAGATATTCTTTATTAGTTTTCAATTTTAAGTAGTGTAATAAAAAATTTGTTTTCATCTCTGCATTATGTGATAAATTCTGATCATTTATTTAGTAATTTGTGTTTGTCTAAGAAGTTAATTATAGCTACTTTCTCCTCCAGACAAAGATTACAGTTTTAGCATTTATTCTTGTAAGCTGATGCTGTTTTCCATATTTTTTTGGTTTGAAAATATATATATATATATATATATATATATATATATATATAAATAAAAAGGTTAATGGTCAGAGTTGAATCAGACCAGGAAACAGTAGTATTAAAAAGTGCTCAATAAATCTGTGAAAAAAAAAATAAGAATAAGAGCTTTCAGAGCTTTTAACTTTAAAAACCTGGAGATCAGTTGAATCCGCTACCTTGGTTTCAGCCTTATGGTATCCTCAGGCGATTTTTATCAGTTGACCTCTCAACGCTTTCTTCTTTTTCCACTTCTTCTTTTTCACATCCTCCTCTTCCCTTTCTATCATACCCAACATCATGCATTTGTGTATTTATTTTTTTAAATAATATAGTGTTCATTAATTTCTTTTGTTTTTTATTTTTTTAAATAAAGCTTTAAAATGTCAATTGATAAAAATCACCTGAGGATACTGTAAGGTTGATACCAAGGTAGCAGATTCAATTGACCTAATTTTTAATATATATATATATATATATATATATATATATATATATATATATATATATAATTTATTCAAAAATAGCCATTTTGTTTCAATACTTCTAAATTGTCTTATCTAGTGATGGTTCAACACCATCACTAGATAAGACACCAGAAGTGTTGGAATTATATTTGCTCTACTCTGTATTGAGCACTCTATTAAGAATAGTTTTTTTGGGTTATTGGAATTTATTCCATATACACCAATCCTATACTTGGAGATATATATATATATATATATATATATATATATATATATATATATAGATTTGTAAATACAATTTTTAATCACATATTCACACTTATCTATTTTTGGGGAATGTATGCATACTGGGAGTTGTATGTTATGATGTGATGGATATTGGCTCAGAATGAGAAATTGAAGAGTTTGAATTCCAGTCAGGTTCATTGAATTCACTCACATTAAACATAGCAGGACTGACTGGGTCCTATAGCCTTGGTTGGCAATCAGTCAGATCAGAAGAAAGAAAGAAAAGCGGTGTTTTTTTTTTTATAATAAAGAAAATCTCCAAAGAAAAGTATTAGCATTTAACTTAGATGAAAATTTTGGTAATCTGAAAAAGTCTACTGGTGTAAACAAAATCTAATGTTTCTCATACAAAATATTCATATTAGCTTTTTGTAGTACGAAATTTAATGATAGCTAGGAATAAGCAAAAGCTTGACTATGCTGGCTTCGTTTAAATTTCCCAGAAACTGCCATTAAAGTCTTCTCATCATAGTTGCAGTATAAATCACAGGTGGACTCTGTGAATGTTGAATGAACACAAATGCACCTGATCGGCCCTAGTAGATGGGTATCATTGAATACAAATGGCCAGCTAAACATACACACATATATGTAATCATTAGAGCGAATGAAAGTTTCAATATATTTAATAATTGTAATGCATTTCTATCAATGCTTTCAATATTTACTATATTTTAATATATGTAATCATTGTGTGAATGAAAGTTTTTACTTTTTAATAAATCCATTTAGTAAATAGTTTGCAATGAATTTCTATAGATGCTTTTAGTATTTGCTGTGTCATTCTATATGAAATCATTAGAGATTATGAAAAACTTGACATATTTAATAATTGTAATGTATTTTCATTGTAAAATAATTTCCAATGGACTTCTATAGATGCGTTTAGTATTTTTTTTTGTCATTTTATGTGTAATCATTTTTGCAAATGAATGTTTTGACATGTGATAAATGTAATACATCTCTATAGTAAAATAATTTGCAAAGTATTTATCCAGAAACTTTTAGCATTTATTGCATTAGTGTGTGTGTGTGTATATATATATATATATATATATATAATTTGAGTGGATGAATGTTTTAATGTATTTTTTTAATAAATTCATTTAGTAGATAATTTTCAATGAATTTCTATTTCACTCTTTTATTTTTTTATTTTTCTTCCTTGCAGGTTTATTGCTCACAAGAAAGCCTCTTGTCAGTCATATCACCCTACGGAGAATGCTCTTCAAAAGTGTCAAGCGGTTCACTGTGTTGAAAGAAAAGTAAGGAATAAAAAGAAAAAAAGATCTCTGTTCCTGAAATCCTTGACAGAATAGGTTGGCAAATTGAAAGTCCTCACAAACAATGGAATGAAAAGATAATGCTGCCCATTTGGAAAATATGAGACCCAAAATGGCAGGAACAGCAGCCAGCTATCTTGAAAAGGAAGGGTCTTAAAACTCATAACTGCATCTGTCTGCTGACACCTGAAGATTGGGTTGCGACCAGTTAAAAAATCATGTAGCTCTGTCTCACTTTGAGGTGCAGCTGTAAATATTTACCTCCTACCAATAAATGTGTTTTCTGATTCCTGTTAAAATCAAAGCGAACACTAAAAAAAAAAAAATGGTCAAATACTGTCATATTGAAACTAAAACTGAGATGGCCATTTTTGAGAATCTGTCTACTAAAACTAGAGGCTTGATTCCATTTTGTTTGACTTGCAGAAATATCAACATGGTAACAAACATGATCTATAAGTCACCATTCCTTACAGAGACCTAAAGATCTTTTAGTACCATATACTTGATGTAATTGGGGCAATGAAAAGCAATTTGACTTGCTATTATAAGTCAGGTTCACTTTTCTTTGACTCTCAAAACACACGGATAAAGATATCTCTGCATGAAAAGAATGAGAAAAAATATAGACACTCAAATAATGACACAAAACTGAACTGCGGTGAATAATGAAGAATGTCTGCCAAGTAATTCAATCTTTTTCATCAAATATGATCTGACAAGGAAAAGAAAAACTATTTGAATATAAAGAATTATTTCTTTGTATCAGATCAAATAACCACAGCTTAATTCGCATCGTCTGTCTATTTTGTTCTGGTATTTGCTTAGTGGGGGGGGAAAAGACACGTAAGAGTTATCTCCCTTTAGAATTTTTATTTTGATATTTCATTTTTGAATTGTCACTTTTACCACGCGTTTAGGCCTTTTTGAACTCTTTTCAAGGGTCCTTCCCCAATATCGGTCTGTGATGCTTGCATTCTACACAAGACGAATCGACAAGAATGCATATCCTGTGGGTTTATCACAGTTAGGCATCCACCCTGAATTTTCTGGCGGCTAGAGCCTTGCAGTTTCTTTTTTTTACTTTGGTGTGTACAAAGGAAAAATTGATTCTGCACATGTCTCTTTGCTACATCTCTCCTGACACTAGTCCTGTTTTCCATCTGGTAAATTAACTAATCATTCCCAACTTTTCCTCATGATGCATTAATTATTACCATTAACTAATACAAAAAGAATTTTGGCCTTTAGACATATTTCCAAATTCATAATTTTGAAACAAAAAACTGACAAGAATTTCCTCTTTCTAACTGATTGTTTCATACTGAACCAATGTAATGGCTCTAAACGTTGATTTTAGACATCATCATATATATTCCATTATTTTTTAACTCTAGATAAAAAAGGAAGAGAAACCATTAAGATATACATAAAAAAGTAAATCTGTATATACTATAATTATATCTCTTTTCCATATGTGATCAGACTCCATATATAGCTATATCAGTAGATCAAAGTGTTGAATCTGTTCAACAACAACTGGACACTATTTTTAGGATATTATTTTTTTTGTTTTTTTTAATAATTTTTGATTTCATATTATTTACTTATATGTAAGCAAGAGTTAATATTTACCTGTGCTTACACTTTCACATGGCACACAATATGGAAGGACATCATCCTGGCAGTGGTGGTAAACAAATGAGGAACAAACCGTTCCCTCCCAGCACCACTGCCACCATGCCTATACATAAAATGACACACATGCACCCAGTCGAGAAGCCATTTTACGGGAACGCATGTGTTGCCAAGCAGTTTGCACCCAGTTGTGGAATGCACCTGAACCATATGCATACAGCTGCAGCAGGAAAGCCCTACCCATGGGACTTTTATGGCAAGCCGCTCTCATTTGGGAAAGCACTATCCCAACCCCATCTCCCAATATCTCCTCCAACGGCTGCCTTACACTCTCCACCACCTTTACCACTTCCACCTCCTCCGACATCGGTAACACCAACATTGTCAAATCAGAAAAAGCCATTGCCTTCGTCTTCATCCTCTATCACTGCCCCTTCATCTGCGTCTCCTCTCAGTCTCGGTCATCAGCAGGGCAAACCATTTCACTGTGAGGTGTGCCCACCAGCATCTCCCTCTCCACACACGCTTACCCAGCAACACCACTTCCCCCATCATCATCATCATCAGCAGCAACAGCAACCACAACAGCCACAACCGCCACCCCCACCGCCTCCTCCACCACCACCACCACCCCAACCACAACAGCAACACCCGCATCCATCGCCACATCCGCATGAGAAGAGCCCAAATTTTCATTGCAATGTTTGTCCTCCCTTGTTACTGCCCCCACTTCCACCACCCCCACCACCCCCACCACCTCCTTCTACAGTTGCCTCTTCCACCTCACCACCGTCTGTACATCCCATGTCCCATGGACAGCCATGCAATGTTTGTCCTCCAACACCACTCAGCCCAGCTTCGCTATCCTCACCCCCACCCCATAGCATGCCTCCTCCGCCGCCACTCCCACTTCCACAGCCCCACCACCACCATCACCGGCCACAGTTACACCATCATCATCACCACCACCACCATCATCAAACCTCAACGCAGCAGCAACCACAGGAGTCACAGCAACCAACACCTGTTCCTACCCCCATGACTGCAAATCCAGCCCCACCCCAAGAAAAGCCCTATCGGTGTGACGTTTGCCCACATCAGTTTGCCCGGCGTGACGCCCTGCAGTGTCACAAGCGAACGCACACAGGCGAGAAGCCGTTCCGTTGTGACGTGTGCAGCGGCCAGTTCGCTCGCCGGGATACGCTGCAGTGCCACAAGCGGACGCACACAGGGGAGAAGCCCTACCAGTGTGATGTGTGTCCAAAGAAGTTCGCCCGCCGCGACAAGCTGCAGTGTCACAAACGGACCCACTCTGGTGAGAAACCCTACCACTGTGACCTGTGCAGTAGCCAGTTTGCTCGTCGTGACACCCTTCTGTGCCACAAACGGACGCACACTGGCCTGAAGCCCTTTGCCTGTGACCTGTGTCCAAAGAAGTTTGCTCGCTCGGACCAGTTGACGTGTCACAAACGGACACACTCTGGCATCAAACCGTTCCAGTGCGATCTCTGTCAACGGCAGTTTGCCCAGCGGGATAAACTGGTATGCCACAAGCGGACCCATTCTGGCGAGAGACCTTTCGAGTGCACTGTATGTGGCCGCCGGTTTGCCCGCCGGGATACGCTGCAGTGTCACAAGCGGACACACACCGGAGACAAACCCTACCAATGTGACCTCTGCATACAGCGGTTTGCACGCCGTGACACACTTCAGTGTCATCGGAGAACGCACTCCGGGGAGAAGCCATTCAGCTGCGAGTTCTGCGGAAAGCTTTTTGCACGGACAGACAAACTCCAGCGCCACAGACGAACCCATGCAAGACATTCTCAGCATGCCCACGTGCCCCATTCAAGTGCTGCTCCAACAGTGACACCTCCAAGTGGGCCCACCTTATCAATGGCCGTGCCTCCCCCACCAGGCCCCTTTGTTGTTGAGAGTAATAATACATTTGTGCGGCCTGGATCGGCGAGTCCAGTTTGCAAGAACTTAAAGAATTATGCTTCCGTATCAGTCAGCAATCATCTTTGGCAAGCAATTTATTCATGATTGGTGCCATAACCAACATTGAGTTCCAGCATATATATATATATATATATATATATATATATATATATATATATATATAATCACAGAAATGGGATTTTTTTTTTTTTTTTTTTTTTTTTGAAGGAACCGCTTCTCTCTTCTTTTACATCCCATGTTTTTTATTTATGAAATTAGGAACCAGTTGGCTTCTCTTTTTTCTTCTTTTTCTTTTCTTTATTCCTTTTTCTTCTTTTTCTTTTCTTTATTCCTTTTTCTTCTTTTTCTTTTCTTTATTCCTTTTTCTTCTTTTTCTTTTCTTTTTTCTCTTTTCTTTTTCCTTTTTCTCTTTTCTTTTTCCTTTTTCTCTTTTCTTTTTCCCTTTTCTTTTTCCTTTTTCTCTTTTCTTTTTCCTTTTTCTCTTTTCTCTTTTCTTTTTTCTCTTTTTTTCTTTTCTTTTTTCTCTTTTTTTTTTTTCTTTTTTCTCTTTTTTTCTTTTCTTTTTTCTCTTTTTTTCTTTTCTTTTTTCTCTTTTCTTTTTTTCTTTTCTTTTTTCTTCTTTTCTTTTTTTCTTTTCTTTTTTCTTCTTTTCTTTTTTTCTTTTCTTTTTTCTTCTTTTTTCTTTTCTTTTTTCTTCTTTTTTCTTTCTTTTCTTTTTACTCACAATTTTTTTTTTATCTATAAATTTAGGAACTGGTTTTCTCTCTCTCTCTCTCTCTTCTTTTTGTAAAACTTCCTAAATTTTTTGTCAACACTTATAAAGGCCAGGGGAATATAAGAAACAGTTTTGCAAACTTGTGTAATTTTACTAAGTGTTTTGTGCAAATCATTGCTAACTTCTTGAATCCTATCACTGTATGTGTTCATACATACATGTATACACACACATATATATAGCGTGAGGTAAATGTCGCACACCATAGGAATAATTTATTTGAAGTATAATTATACATGAAAATTTACTAGTTATTTAATTGTTATATGTGCTGTTCAAAATGTCCTCCTTCTTTTTCAAAACAATTTAATTCTGTGCCTGCATGATTCATTAACTCATCAGAGAGTTTCCTGCTTTCCCATACATGAACACCAAGGTAACTCTTTTATCTTTTGTTAGTTTTTCAGCCATTTTACTTGATCAAAATTGTTTCTGCAAAATATGAAAATATCAAAACAAATTTAAAACACTATTAATTAATTAACCCCTACAGTGCATGACTTTTGCCTCACCCTGTATATAAGAAGTGTATTTTCTTGCACCTGTACAATAACCTGAACCACAATGCTATAACTATTTAATTTTTTTTTTTTTAATTTATTTTAATATTTGATTAATATAGGAGTTGCTGGTTTATCTCCTTGTATACTCTTTTTGTCTCTCATATATATATATATATATATATATATATATATATATATATATAGTTATTTCTTATTACTATAAACATTATTTTTAGTGGGTACACAAGTTTGAGTTGTCATCCCTGTTTTTTGCTTATTTTCTTAAACAGTGAAATTAATAACAACCGGCCTAGATTGAGAAGCCCAACTAAAGAAAAATTGTGCCTCTGCCAAGAATTGAAACTGCATACCATCCCCACCACCCATCAAGAAAACCACTTTCTTAGTCAAAGCATGCCGCTACCAGTTTCACCACCAGAGACCATCCCAACAGTGCAAAGTTCAAATTAACTATTTAAAGAAAGCACATCTCTCGTCGGGACTTCTACAAATCTTTATCTGCTAGCTTTCACCTAAAAAAAAAATCAGAGATAGTAACTCAAAGATATGTACCCACAAAAAATGAATGTTTATAGTAATAAGAAATATTGTTGCATAAAAAATCCCTTCAAAAAAAAAAATACTTTTATATTTGTATATGCAATCAATCAGCGGTAAAGGCTTCTCTTTTTGTATATGTAATGTTTATCTATATACATTTGTACATGTTTGTCTGTTTGTTCATTGTTACAGATGTCTATTAATGTTGTTATATTAGTATATCTCATTTTATCAAAGTTGAAAATGTTTTAATTATCCTATATAAATGTGTGTGTGTGTGTGTGTATATATATATATAAACATTATTTTTAGTCAATATCTGTATTTGAATAGACACGCTTTTATTTTTAAACAGTATTTATTTCACCTACCGGTTTGCACACTCAAGAAAACTCATTAAAGAAAATGTGCGTTCTGGAAAGCGTCAAACCTTTGTTACCTGGTTTCTTCTGCAAAGGAGGACACAGGTTCAAATCCTGCCAGAGGCTACATTTTCTTGAATGTGAAGGCCAGTAGGTGAAATACTGTTTAAAATAAAACAGAATGTCTATTCAAATATGGATATCAAATAAAAATAACGTTTGAAGTAATCAAAATATGTCGGGTAAAAAATAAAATCCATTTTATATATATATATATATATATATATATAATCTTTGTTGAAAAACCACTGAAAGTTCTTTGTTCATATTTTTCTTTTATTTATTTCACCTATATTTTGAAACATTTTCTTGGCTTCTAGTAGATATGTAAATATAAATTGTCCATTGTCTCGGAGTACTTTCGGCTTTTATAAGCTATCATCAAATATGTACTGAAAAGCAGGAAAATGGTTCGAAATACAGAAAAAAAATCATTAACAAAGAATTTTTATTGGTCTATAAGCAACCTTGTATAAATGAAAAATACCTTCTCAAATACATCCGAGATATATATATATATATATATATATATATATATATATATATATATATATAGGCAATGTTTAACCCTTTGTGCCTGCAAAAAAAATGATGTGTCAAAAGGACAGTTATTACCTTCATACCGCTATTACTGTATGCACTTTTGACTCCCAGCAATGTTTATTTACATGATTATAAAAATACAAGTACAATATGATATTTATTATTTACCTTTTATGATAAAAATATAGTTTTAATGTATACTATATTAAAGGTAAATGTGCTTAGTATCAGAAACAGAGCGTATGTAAATATAAAAGTAGACATTGAGCTTAACACCATGCTTGAAAACAATGTTTAGCTCATGAAATGAAGATTGCATTCAAACCTGAAACAGACGATCACCACTTGGTGTTAACCTCAGTGTCCACTTCTATATTTATTCACCTTTTTATAAGGATTTATTATTTAACATTTTATAAAGAAATAAATTTAGAAAGCTTTTTATTCCAAAAGTTATGAAAAAGTTACAAAATTATGTAAACCATCCATGATGCAATATTTGCAGTAAAAATTACTTTTTCTGTAATTTTACATAAGGAAAACTTTTTTTCGCCCATCCAGATACATACTCAAAATATTAAGTGTTTGTGGTCTTGTCTAAAATTAAAAGAATGTTTGGCTCAGAGGAAGAGACGCTCTCAACTTTTTGGGGTGAATTTGTGTCAAGAACAAATGAAAATACAGTTTCCTTATTGGGATATTTTCATAAATTTATGAAAAAAAATGTCTTTTCATGTTTATTTCTTTATAAAATGGTAAATAATAAATAGTTGGTTAACATATTCTTATAATCTTGTCAATATAAAATTATTCTTGTAAATAAGTAATTTGATACATAGTGCTTTTAATAGTGTTTATCAATTCTCAAGAGATAAAGAAAAATGTATAAACTCACTTTCATATATTTGGGTTTTATTAAAATTCTAATCATTCCTTTTTAAAAACAACATTTCCAAGTGTATACAGTAAAAGCAGTATCAAGGGAATAACCATCCTTTCAATACACTTTTTTTTTTTTTTTTTTTTTTTTTTTAGGCATTAAGGTTAAACATTGACTAATATATATATGTGAGAGGTCCTGATCAAAAAGTATCGGCATTGTTGCTAAAGTATGCAGAGTGAAAGCACTTCGCACAGATAGACCTTGAACTCTGTCACACATGAACACTAAGTTATAATGTTCTTGTTCACTTCTGTTGTCTACAGCAGTGCTTGGCAGGAAAGTGTGTAGTGTGTGGTTGTCTCACCACCCCATACTCCAGATGTTCCATCAGTGACCACAGCTTGCCCTCAAGTTATTGGTCGAGCCCAACATTGACCAGGTCCAACAACCATCATACTTCCCAGGTCTCACCCCTTGTGACTTTTTCCTTTTTTCAAAACTAAAAGGAATAAGATTTCAAGATGTTGAGGAAATCCAAGAGACTTCAATGAGGCAGCTGTTCGCTATCCAGAAAGAAAAGGAGTTCCAGGAATACTTCCATCAGTGGAAACAACACCAGATAAAGTATATGGCTTCAGAAGGGGACTACTTTGAAGGAGATTAAATGCCGAATTGATATGTGTTGTAGTTTTCATTTTATAGCACCAGTCCCAATACTTTCTGATCGACCCTCATATATATATATATATATATATATATATATATATATATATATATATATGGATTTATTCTGGCAGAATGATTAATAAGGAACAAGCAGATAAGATCTTCAGAAATTTGTGTTAAATTTACGAAGATTTACCTCCTCGAACCCTATTTAATTGTGTGTGTTTATATTTAAATGATAGAATATATATGTATATATGTCAAATTAAACTTTGGTTGGATATGACAACATATAACAATCAGTGTGTGTGTGTGTGTGTGTGTGTGTGTGTGTAGTTATACATATTCATAAATGCACATTATATAAATATTTAACAAATATGACTATACAGCTGCTGGCATATATAGTTATGCATACATGTATATAATTTTTGTGTATACACACAAATGTGTGTGTGTTATATTTATAATTTTCCATTCGTATTCATATATGTTTATAATACGCACATATGTACATATAATCTTTTCTTGTATCATGGAAACTTGTTTTTGTTTTTTTGTTTGTTTTGGTTTTTTTTGTTTGTTTGTTTTTTTTTTTAAAATATATCCTTGCTGAATAGGGCCATATTTTATTCTTTTTTTTTTTTTTTTTTTTTTGAGTTTTCATATCTCATTTTCCGGAAGAGAAGTCGTGTTCCATTTTAATTCTATGGTATACTGCTGTAAGAAAGAATTTTGGCCATTCTCCCCACCCCCATAAGAAAAACAATTTTCTTTATAAATTTTAGAAATCTTTTTTTTTTTTTTTTTTTTTGAATGCTTATTTTTCAAAGTTTCAAACCAAGCAAATTCTTTTCGATTGGGTTTGATTATGAAAAGAATTTTTTTTTTTTTTTTTTTTTTTTTTCTCCTAAACTCTTTGTTTCAAGTTTAGCATTTGATAGATAGATCATCATCATCATCATTATTATTATCTGTCAATTGGACATGTCCTCTCAACTCTTTCAATTAGGTCTTTGGGATTATCTAGACTCCACTATTATCTACCAACTAAATACATCCTCTTGACTCTTTCTCTCCAGTCTTCACGATTGTCTACCAGTTGCACACATCCTCTTGACTATTTCTCTTGGCTCTTTTCATGATTATCTACCAATTGAATGCGTCATCTCGACTCTTTCTACCCAGGATTCATGATTATCTTTTGTACCTGGTAGGTCTTCAGGTGTCTTCACACATTAGCTGAATGTATGTTTTGAATGCGCAATCAGTGCTAGTGTGTCATTTTCTTTGTGTGACCACAATCAGATATAACTGATAAGCACATGCTCCATTCTTCAAAAATGCCCTGTAAATCTATGTCAAATGACTGATAAATAACTTAAAACATAAAATCTGCGAATTAGTGTCATACTATTACCAACATCAAATTATTATTGATAAGATC